ACAAACTATTCATCTTTATAACGTATTTTGATGTTGTGCATGAATCGGATTTTGCAAGCTCCCTTGTGTACTGGTAGAGACCATAAAGCTCAACAGGGAGAGGAGCACTTAAATTGGCCATAGATTTCTAATGCTTACTGTACCTGCAAATATGAACATGAACTATCTCTCATGCAGCAGTTTATGTATCCTTTTTTTACATCAGGAAAACGGCAACATGGACCATGCAACCGTGGTGCCGAGTTTGTCATACCATTTATTGGATCAGATGACAAATGGTTTCTCTGAGGACCGGGAACTTGGCAGAGGCACATACGGGAAAGTCTATCTGGTACGATTAATAGTTGCCGCAGGTGGTAGCACCATGCATGTGAATTACTCCTAAGACACACTGCACATTATATGGTTACGAATAATTGGTCCCCTCATTTGTTACTCGCTAGAAGGGCAATTACATCCTGGCGTCCATCGCATAGAAAATTAACCATGCTTATTTATTCAGGTGCATGCCAACGACAGATGAGGCATTGTGCAAGTTGCAGGCTGCACTATTTTTTCCTCTTTTGATCTTAGTAACTATTAACATTTGTGCCTTACCTTGCACTGTTGTGTGCTCATCTGTCATGCAATAAACAGTTTATAGCAGTAGAGGATTTGTGTCACCACATATTCAAACATGAGTACCATTTTGTGCTTTACACTTGTTATATATATCGCTACATTAGTAGAAAATTAAACCAAGCATATGTGAGATTGAATAGGGGTTGCATACGAATGGGGAGAAGATTGCTGTGAAGATGCTTCATCCCATGCTAGGACTTGATGATGAGCTATTTGAGAAGGAGTATCACAACCTTGAAAATCTCCAACACCAGAATGTTGTGCGTTTGGTTGGCTATTGCAATGAAACTCGACGGGAATATGTGCCATACAATGGGAAAATGGTACTTGGTGAAGTGACACATAGGGCTCTTTGCTTCGAGTATATGCAAAATGGAAGCCTTAATGATTATCTCTCTGGTATGATGCATAATGCTCTACTTGTATTAGTAGGTAATATCATATTTTAATATAAACTTTCTGTGGATGCTATTCGTTGTTATAGATGAATCTAGTGGACATGATTGGCACACACGCTATGCAATAATAAAAGGAATTTGCAAGGGTTTGAAATATCTTCACGAGGAATTGGAACCTCCAATGATTCATTCTGACTTAAAACCAGCCAATGTATTGCTGGATGAGAACTGCATGCCTAAAATTGGCGATTTTGGATTGTCGAGGCTAATGGAAGAACAAACGCGTATCACTACAACTTCTGTAGGAACAATGTAAGCTAAGTTCTTCTCCATGTCAATTAAAATTTTCTGTAATCAAGTAATTTTGTTTGCATTCGACACATGGTACCAGTAATATGTATGATGTGTCATGCAGTGGGTACTTACCGCCGGAACATATAAATGGTCGTGTAATTTCTAATAAGTTGGACATATTCAGCTTGGGTGTTATAATCATAAAGATAATAGCAGGACCCACGGGCTACTCAAAAAGTGCTGAAATATCTTCACAACAATTCATTGAGCTTGTAAGAAGGAGTTTCCTTTATCGTCATTAGTTGTATATATGTTTCACAAATGATACTTAATTATGCTAAAATGCTAATATACTGCATTTATGATTAAAATGAGAAGGTACATAGAAACTGGAGGAATAGGCTACAGGCAGCATCAGTGAATGCACTGGAGTCCTATTGCATACAAGTAAAAAGGTGCACTGAAATAGCTTTAAGTTGTGTGGAGGTTGACCGACATAAAAGGCCGACTATAGGAAACATTCTTAATGAGCTAAACGAGACGGAAACTTCAAGTCAATTTCCTGATGCGTTACTAAAGGACCTTGAGCCAACAAAGAACCAGGTGTGATTATTAACGGAAAAACTGTGTTTTACTATGATTATTTTCATGCCTACAAATATTTGGCCAATGGGCTATGGCCATACAATTTATATGTTTAATCCTGACATACGATATTGTGAAGAAAAAAAATTATAGGGAAGAACACTTGCAACATTGGGAATACATGTGCTTGAAAGATTGACTCCATAAAATTATTTAAGCTATGAAAAATATGAATAAAAGGATGAACTGAAAGTTATTTACTATAAATCCCTAATATACATGTTTTTGTTGATATGTCGTTGGATGCTCAATAATGTAATACCCTTGTTTTTTAACTAAATTATTATAGATTTCTTAGTACTATCAATTTGGTAAAGTAATGCCCTTTGGGATAGATTTTTAGCTTCTAAATTTTGAGGGAAACCCAACATCCAATTCCTTAGTGGGCTAGATTGTGAAACAATAATTCTTGAGGAAAATGATTTGCATTGTCAAACAGAGGGGGTATTCCAAATCCATCGGCAGCTTTAACCACACGAATTAAGGTGCATTTGACATTCATATAACAATTAGCTTTGTTTGTATTCTGAACTATAGTTTCTCATAGTAAAATATTATTTAAAATTTTCTTGAAATGTTATTTGTAGAAATTCACATTCATAAAAAAGAAAAGTTGCCAGCACACCAAGCAGCCTATCCTGGTGGGAAGCTATGGCTCTTGGATCTCCCAAATGAACTATGTAGTCCACAAGACACCCATTTACATACAAAGTGGGTTGTTGTCAAATATGTGCCTCCAAATGTGCAGGAAAGCCAGCAAACTCACATAACAGAAGCAGAAGAAAAACGGGAGAGAGAAGAACTAATCGAAACAGCAAATTGCTTTGGCGAAGTAGTCGACAACTGCAAATTGGATAAAATGGCGAGGTACATGGGCAAACACAAGACACGGGAAGACCGAGCACGAGAGGCATGGAACCTGGTGGACGAGCATGACAAGGACGACGAAGCTTTCAGGTATGTCAAGGGTCTGAAGTCCCTGTACGGCAATGGACAGTCAACGTTGTGCCGTTTGTATAATGCCACCGGAGACACCCTCTACCAAGTCGCCAACTACGACTGGTCTGGCCACATCGGCAGGGCTCCCTACCCAGCTACTATTGGCAACGGCCAGTGGGCAGCATTTCATCACATCCACCGGGCCGGCGAGTCATCAGGTTCGGTAGCCGCTGTCGTGTACCGTGGGAAAAATAAACATGGCCAAGATAAGGATTACATAGTTGCCTGGAGTACCCCATGTAGTTTGTGGCACCGAAACAAGGTACATATATACAGCCTAATTGTAATCAACCGGTTTTCTTGTTCGAAGCAACCTGAAGATTTGTCTTTGTAGATCGATTGGTTGCCCATCTTCCATCCTTCAATTTTTTAAAAAAATTGTATGCTACTTCAGTGTTTGGAATGTGCAACAACACAGTTGCACATTTCTAAACCTGAAATTACGTATATTATCACAGATATGCATGCCAATACCCCCGTTATATCAAACAATCTAAGGCTTGCTTTGTAGACTTAGATTTAATAAAATTACTATCAGCTAAGATTTGATACACCCATAGTTTTTGTACTTCCTAGTTGTTTGGAATTTTGTAAATCTCAATCACCTAAAACAGCACATTAATTGGCCTGAAATTGCAGTATTTGAAAGATTGCAAATTTAGTCAAGGATCACAGAAACTTTTAGTTTGTAGGTTACATATATGCAGTGGCTTGGAGATGAGGATGGTTGGATGTTGATCTGAAGGCTTATAACTTAACCCAGATTTAAGAAAAAATCAGGCACTTATATATAACCCCATTTATTATAACATGTGCAGGCTTATTGTGGGATCAGTGATGTCAGCTGGTTTCAAAAGAACTTGGAGCAGCTTATGTACATCATTTCCGATGCTGATTATTCTTCTAGCCACAGATCGGGCGGGTGTGAGATTGAAGCAAGAATTGGCAGAGGTCATAGCCCTAAGTTTACTGCAAGAATCAGCTACCGCTGATCAGCCATCTCCAGCATTGTGCTAGGCTTACTAAGTTCACTTGTCGTGATCACCCTATTGCATCGCTAATCGTGGCCTGTAACCATTGCAACAACTGCATTGTCCAAGAAATGTATGACCTGCACTGTATGTACCAGTAGAGAACCTCTTGCCAGTTCCCACTTCCCAGGGATGTTATTAGGAATCAGAGGCCAATTATTACAAATTTTATGATCCTCACGGGTTTGTTAAATTCTGGACAAACTGCGCATAAACAGTTCAAATCACACATGAAACAGATTTGGATTGTCCTTTTAATCAGGGAGGCCAGACTAGCTGCGAAGTAAGGCTCTGCCCAGTGCCGACAAGTGTGTCCGTGTCCGGTCCTAGCTAAAAGGACCGATTCATATAAAACTGATTTCATTCATTTCAAAAGAACTGACTTCATTCATTTCAGTAAACATATTTCATTCATTACCAAAATGTTTTGAAGTACTCGGTTTGACATGTTTGAACAAACTAGTTGGTATATATCCATTGAGGCCCCCGCTCCCGCGAGCCGCCCCCACCCCCGAAACCCTTGCCGCCGCCACCTTCCCCTGCCCATCTTCGGCGGGATCCGGCCGCCCTCGCCGGCGCGCGGCCCGGATCCGCCCCGCTTCCGCCGCCCTTCCTCCCCCGCCCCTCCTTCCGCCCTCATGCCGCCTCCCTGGGAGGCATCCGAGGCGGCCCCCGCGCCTCTGCTCTCG